AGACTTACCTGAACTTCCTCCAACCTCTAGCACTTTAGTACAATACGTCGATGACCTCCTGCTTTGTAGCCCCTCATATGAGGATTCACAGGCCCACACTGTTGCCTCCTTAATTTCCTGGCCTCCAGGGGATATCGAGTGTCCCCCAGCAAGGCCCAGATTTCTTCTCTTTCGGTTCAAGAGTCTAATTTCTGAACTCCCTACTCCTACCACAAAGCTTGAAATCCTTTCTTTCCTGGGGCTTGCAGGGTATCTACGCCTATGGATTCCTAACTTTGGCAGCTAGCAAAGCCACTTTATGGGGCAGGGAAAGGGGATCCTGCCATTCCTTTAGATCCCACAAAGTTCATTCATTCTCCCTTCCAGTGATTAAGAGCCACTCTCCTCGCAGCTCCAGCTCTATCTCTCTCAAACCTATCTCATCCTTTTATCCTATACATCCCCCAAGCCCAAAGACTGGCAGTTGGGGTTTTGGGACAAGAGGCAGGAGATATTTTCTCCCCAGTTACATACCTCTCAAACCAACTAGAATGGGCCCCTGTTTAATGGCCTTAGCGGCAGCCGCCCTTTTACCACAAGAAAGCTCTAAACTAACTTTTAAACAACAAACAGTCAAGACCTTCTCAGCCATAAGGCCAAGCCAATTCTCTCCCTTTCCCGCCTATAACTTATTTACCTTACTTTCATTGAAAACTCCCGGTTCTCCTTTAAACCTCACCCTCCCTTGGTAAAACAAGCACCTGAGACTTTACCCAAAGAATCTGTTAACACCAAGCCAGAGAGGTCCCTCTACTCAACCCCCAACCCAACATCTCCTTACACTTCATCCATTGTAGGACCCACAAAACTGAAAATCTCCAGGACCTTCACTCTTGCCCCAATCCCAGAAGAAGGATGATCTTTCTCCCGGCGATTATCCTCTCACTCCTGCAGGCCCACTCCACGTCCTTCACACAGGAGCTGCTCCAAGACTGGTCCCAACTCACCACCTCCAGTGTTGAAGACATCCTTGAGTGGGTAACTGAATTAGCCTGGCAGGGCTCCCTCTGCAATTACACCTCCGATGAGGTTACCCTCTACTCCTCTTTCCTACTATGCACCCTCTCAACCTCTCGGCCCCTGAACCCTTGCCTTCTCTCTTCCTCTTGCTTCTTTTCCTAACAGAGACATATGCCACACCCTGTTCACAATGTATAACCAAGGTCTTGGTGGGTGGAAGGACACTTTGCAACCTCCCAGGTCAGCCACCCAGAATCTTCAGGGGAACCCTACAGGACACATTCACATCCCTGACATACATTCCCATAACATGCTATGACCAGACAACTGCCACATCACGTTCTTATGGGGGTAAAAACTACTGGATAGCTCTTTCCAAAGGGGATTCTGCTGGAGTCCAGTGCCGCCTACAACAAAAACATTTCTGCTTCACACAAACCACTCACCTAGGCTATAGCAATGGGGGAGGACTTCAGGACAAAACACCTTGGACCCCTGACCATGATGGGACTTGTCCTTCTTCTTGGTCCCTGCCTCTTTCGGTGTTTCTCTAATTTCTTGCAGGAATGTATACAGGCTTTCACCCACCAAAAGGTCACCGAATTCTTCATGGGAGGAGGATACCAGCCCCTCAGAATCAGCGACCCTTCCCTGGAAGAATACAGCCTCCCCACACTAAACCAATACCCCACCACCTAATTGTTTTACCCGCCAACATAAATCTTTTATTTTTTTCATATTTTCACCCATCTCCAGCAGGAAGTAGCTTCAGAAGAACGAGATCTCCACCCCTTTTCCCTTCTCCTTATACCTAAAAGGCAGGAATGATAGATCTTGAACATAATCAGTGCCATTTTAGGCAAGGCCAAGCACAAAATGGCCCCCAACCTCTCGCCCCTTCCCTTTATGGGAAGCCTTGTGACTTCTGTGAAATAGCAACTCTTTTTGCTTCCGCATGGGTGCAATGCCCCTCCCTCACAATGCCCCTCCTTGATTGCTTCAGCCAGCCCTTGGCACCCTACAGTCTGTGTAAGCTCTGCCACCCCCAGGCCTGGTGCTGCCCTCCATTTTGAGCACAGCTGGGCAGATTTTTTTTGTTTAATAAAGTTTGATTTGGTACTCGGCATTTTGGCTCACTTTCTTTCAATTATCGTAATTATTTACCACGTCCCCTTCATCTAGCTGTCTTAAAATGGGGTTTCAAACTCAGCCTGATTGCCTTTGCAGCTAGCCTCATATCTCCCAGCCCAGTCTTTGCCTTCATTATCGACTAAGTCAAATCAAGGGGACTGCATGATGCAGAGCAGGAGCGGTGGTCTCTAGGAGTGTCTGTGCCCAGCTTTCTCCCAT